CAAACATATGCCCACGTCTAACGAAGGGCTTTTCATCAATGCAACCAGTAGGTGGTGCCCCAGGATTACTGTTTGCAGAACTAGTCTGGCTCCAGGGGTCAATTCGTTACTTAACTGATAAGGACAAAGGAACTCATCCAACTGACTGAATCACATTTTAAAAATAATCTTCTTGAATGCGGGAAACGACTTGATTTTTCTCTCTTTATCCCCAATGCTTACTTAGCACAATGCTTGGTACTAAGTGCTTAATAAATGTTTTTTTTTTCATTCATTCGTTCCATTTTTCACTTAAAATGATTCAATTTCATCTCCCCTGACTAAAAAGGCAAGTGGCTTAAAGAATAAGGAAGTGTTACAACTATCAAATACATCTGATTTTTGCTTGGGGTCAGATAATATTTTTTCTTGGCCGCTGCTAATAAAACTTCTTGCTTTGAAGAAAATTTTTGTAAAAACCAAGTATTAGGATTTTTTTAAAATTGAGCAACCCACAAAATCAGTACTTAGGTGAGCCTGAGCCCTAAGGATGCTGCTGCATACAAAGTTGTCCCAATGAGTAGTTGAAAATTGCATTTTTTCAACAATTTTACATTTTGCATACTGATTTAATCAATGCAAACAATGGAATAGGGCTGTTTCTGGAAAGATTATTACATTTGATTGCCCACACGCTTTTGGCCGATACTTAGTCACTTCTGCTAACTCTGTAATAACCCCAAAATCATAAGAGCATAGATACATAGTTAGAAGAGACCTTATAGACCACCTAGTCCTTTCCTCTTCTTACACATGAGGAAACCGAGGCCCAGAGAAATGAAATGATTTGCCCTAGGTCACACAGATAGTATTTTGGCTATTTTACTAAGTGTTATACAGATTTACAGATACAAGAAGTCCTCATAAACCACATGGGGGACTTGTAAGTTAGTTGCTTGGATCCCATAATGCATTTATCCAGAACAACTATTCTTTTAAATGGTGATTAGATTCCTGGGGCAGATCACAAAAGTCTACTTAAATGATAACATATTTGAAGTATACTACTATACTAATTAATAATGCTATAGAATCTCATCACCATTCCATAGGAAAACTGTGTCCAGAGGTCCAATTGAATTGCCAGAAGCATCTTTCTCCCTCCTGAACTTTGGGCACAGGGAATGTGAAGTCCTGTACCTCCAAGCAACTACTGCTGACTGTCATTGGGTCATAAGGACATGTTCATTCAGAGGAAATATGTTTAGGAGACCCAGGGCAGGGTCTGCTCTTACACTCTTAAATTACTATTCGAGAATATTCTTCTGTTTTCTCTCTTAATGCTACCAGTCTAATCCTTAATTCCTCAAGGAAACCTGATCATTCCTCCAAGATTCATTGAGTCCAGGGTTTACCAACCTCTTTTCATTTATTAATTCTCAGATGAGATCAGGTTTAAAGCTGAAGAATCAAAGCAAAACAAAATGCTAAGACATTTTGTGGCATTACAAATGCATGGAAATGGTTTTCTCGAGGCACCACAGTAGATTCTTAGAAGATTAAAAAAAAAAGATATCTGTTGAATTAAATTGTCTTCTTATGTTATCATACGATGACTCGCTTTGTTTCAAATCAATTTAATTGTAATAAAATAGATTGTTTTTTATTACCAATAAGGGAGAGGTTCTTAGATGGTTTGGGATTTCCTTACCACTTGTCCATTGATTCTGGCCTTCTGTCGTGATAGTGTTGTAGCTGTAGGAGGGCTGATGAAGAGTCAAGATGAGAACTTAACAAAGGGACTTTCCAGCTCCCTCTAGTTCTTCATTGCCTCTGACCTGTCTTGATACAGCAAACCCTACCACAGAGCAATTCTTAGCTGAGGTGAAAAACTAGGACTAGGGAAGAGGCTTGGGATGGTGTTTAATCCTGGCACTGGAGGTTACAAGGGGAGGCAGCACAGGATGGATTTCAGAGTCTGAAACATTGAGGTAAGAATTAGGAGAAGAAAGAGGGGAAGAAACAATGTGCGAACAAATAAGGACATATGCAATAATTCTGAGAAGTGAGTATGAACAACTAAAGAGATCAAGAAAGGCTCTCTGTAGGAGATGGTATTTGAACTGAACCTTGAAGTTTTCTAGAGAGTCTGAAAAGCAGAAGGGAGGAGGGTAGTGCAAAGACACAAAAGGAAGAAAAGGACTGAGGAGTTAAAGAGACAGCAAGGAGGCCTGTTTGTCTAGACCAAAAATAGAATGTAAGAATTAGAGCAGTGTATAATAAGGCTGAAGAGATAGAAGAATCAAAGCCATTCCCCAGTTGATAAATGGTCAAAGGACATGAACAGGCTGTTTTCAAGGGAAGAAATCCAAGCTATGAATAGTCACATAAAAATCCTCCAAATCACCAGTAGTTAGAGAAGGGTAAATTAAAACAACTCTGTGATTCCCTTAGACTGGGAAAGTTGACAAAAAAGGAAAATGATAAATATTGGGTGAGCTATAGGAAAGCAAGTGCATTAATGCATTGTTGGTGGAGCTGTGAACCAGTCCAGTCATTCTGGAAAGCAAGTTGGAACTATGCCCTAAAAGTTATCAAATTGTGTATATCCACTCACCCAATGATACACTACTAGATCTATACTCCAAAGAGATGAAAGAAAAAAGAAATAATAATAACTAACATTTACATAATGCTTTAAAGTTTATAGAGTGCTTTACAAATATTATTTTTCCCTCACAATGATCCTGTGAGATAGGTGCTGTTATTATCCCAATTTTACTGATGAGAAAACTGAGGTGGACAGATGTTAAGTGACTTGCCCAGGTTCACACAGCTAGTAAGTGTCTGAGGCTATATTTGAACTCAAGTCTTCCTGATTCCAGGCCCAGTGCTCTGTGCTCCCTAGGAAAAGGGACACACACACACACACACACACACACACACACACACACACACACCCTTTGCAGTGGCAAAGAATTGGAAAATGAGAGGGCATCAGTCAACTGGGAAATAACCAAATAATTTATGGTATATAATTGAATACAATTGTGCCATAGGAAATTATTAAGGGGACAATTTCAGAGAAACTTGGGAAGACTTGTATGAAATGATGCATAGTGAAATGAGCAGCACCAGTAGAACAAGTTGCACAACAACAATGATATTGTATAGACAAACAACCTTGAAAGACTTAGGGACTCTTACCTACATAATGATTTACCATGATTCCAGGATTCCAGAGATGACTGACTCATGATGAAACATGACACACAAGTAACTCAGTATAATTGAGGCATATTTTTTTTTCTGGACATGACCAATGTGGAAATTTGTTTTATTGATTATATATATTTATATCATGGATTTTGTTTTTCTGGTGAAAGGAGAGGGATAGAGAAAGGAAGCTAATTTTCATTGACTGAAAAACTAAGATTTAAGTTTTAAAATGCATCTGAAGAGGTAGGCTGGAGCCAGATGATGTAGGGAGTTAAATGCTAAGCCAAGGAGTTTGTTTTATTCTAGAGGCAACTGAGCATGGGACGAACAGACTTAAGCTTGTTCTTTTGGCCGGAGCGTGGACAATTAATTGGCAAAGGGAAGGCAGGCATCCAGTTGAGTTGTCTCAACAGTTAGACATGAGGAGAGAGAGATTCGAATGACTATAGCAATAGCCAAGTGAGTGGAAAAATGAGACTGATTGGGAGATGTTATGGATACAAAATCTACAAGACTTGGTAACTGACACACAAGATTTATTTATTAATCTGATGCTATTTCTTCTTACTTTTTGAAATTTGATTGTGAAGTAACAATGAAGTTGATAAGCTTGATTTTTTTTTTGCATTCGATATTCAGTACTAAAGGGAAAATTTCAATTTTTCTTTTCTAGGTCAAAAGCCATCTTGCTTTTTTCTCTTCTCTTCCTCTTTTATTTACATGCCAAAAAAACAAGGGGGCATGGTCTTTAATGGCTAACACCAATTCTTTTATATGTAATGTTATATAATGTATATTATGTTAGATATAGTTCATATATGTGTATGGATACATACATATACACACATTGGGGGTGGAGGGCAGAATAAAACCTATGATTTCATTGGTATAGGAAACTGCTGAAGAGGAAATTCCCTCTACAAATCCAGATCTGCAATTGCTGTGCAGCTTAGAGCTTCAGAGAGTTACCTGGAGCACTGAGAAGTTCAATGACTTGCCCAGTACATGTCAGAGGTGGTATTTGAACCTAGCTTTTATGACTCTGAAACTAGTTCTTTGTCCGCTACCACACCAAGCTTTCTCATGCATATGTACACACACACACACACACACACACACACACACACACACGCTAAAAGAACTGACTGAACAACTGATTAAAAAGAGAATTTTTCCTCAAAAAACAAACACACAAATGGTATTTGGGTAGTGTAGAAAGGGCCAGTTTCAAAATCAGGAAGACCTGGACTCAAGCCCATCTTCCAGCAGTACTAGCTTTAGGCAAGTCATTTACCCCTGGGCAAGAGACTTGAACCTAAGTCTTGCTTCCTTGGAATTCAGGTTGCTTCTTCACAGGTATAGAAATAGACATGGAAATGGATATCGATACAGATCTATGAATTGTGTGTAGGAGCCAGACATCAAGAGGAATAGCCTACATTGGATCATATGCCAAGCTCATTGCCATAAATTGCTTTTCTTTGGTTCCTAAGAGAAAAATAATCTATAGCATGATGATATAAAACTATTGATGGCACCAATGCTGGGTATAATTCAAATGCTTTGAATGACAGGGCTCAAAGATTACAAATAGTCTTGTCCCCTCTCCCAACCCCATCCCAAACAAGCCCTTATTATGTCAACAAGTTGGCAATGTTTAGCTGCACATATCTCCTCTGCCTGACTTTACCTCTCTCCATGGTGTTTGTTCATTACACAATATTTCCTGTTCACCTTCACCTGAGGGCATTTAAAACATTCCAAGCTGGTAATGCATGCAAACAAGTTTTTTTACCTGCATATTCAGCAAATAAAACCAAGTTAACTCTGTGGATGACATTCATTCTTTCTCCGGCTCTCTGGTGGGACTTTGCTGTTTTTCCTGCAGAAAGTGAGGCATGGATATCCAGATGGTCAATTCCATGGACTTTGGGGAGTTTGTTGATGTTTTGGGGAACATTATAGAGAAATGCCCCCTGATTGCAGCAGCCATCTGGTCCCAGCGCCCATTCACGGACTTAGCTGATTTAGAGAAGCATGTGTTTGACTTTATCGAAGCCCTTCCACAATCAGGTAAGTTTCTGTTAGACTGAGATATTAGTCAGTTTGGCTTAAAACATTTTTATCCTTTTTTTAAAAAAAGTTAAAATGTATTTGTCTTAAAGTTGAATAAATTTCTGTTGAGACTTAGGAATATACAAAGTGTTGTACAAAGTGTGGAATTACATGTAGTTTATAGTCTGAGATCAAGTGGCTCTCAGATATTTGAGATAAGCATTTAAAAGACTAGGGGAGCAGCAGCTGCCTTCCCTCTATGACTGCATGGACTAAAGGCTGCTGTCTGGTTCTGTCATTCAGTTCTAAGGTTGAAGGTCAAGCTCAAGTACTTCATTTTCTCTTCCACAAAATGATCTTACTGGGAAAGTCTTGAGGGCAAGGGAAGAGACAGCTCAGGGTGAGATTCTCTCAAGAGCCCACAGGAAAAGAACACATGATTGATCCTTTCTTTGAGCAGCGCTAGGCTGAGCAGGGCAATGAGAGAGAGTTAATTTTGATCCGCTTTCTTCACCAGAGGGCTGGGTGGAAAGAGATGAAGATTTTATGGGACCTAGTGGAGAATAGATAGGGAGGATGAAGAGGGAGGCCAGAGTCCTAGAGACGCAAAGGATGACGTAGGCACCTGGTTCATGCTGCATATTTCAGGAGCCAAATCCCAACTCTTTATTCCATCCTTCCTCCCTCTTTAGGAAAGGCTGAAATAAATCAAAAGGTGATTGGAGAAAGGGAAAGTCTAACCCTAACCACAGAAGATTCTAAATGATGATCTCAAGTTAGCGAAGAGTCTTATTTTTATCATAGGGCAAAGCACATATATATCAATTATTCCCAAGCCTTCATTTTTGGCAGCCAAGGGTGGCTCTGTCAAATTATAACTCCAGTATTAATTTAATGGGACAGCTAGGTGGCGCAATGGATAGAGCACAGTGCTTGGAATCAGGAAGACTCATCTTCATGAGTTCAAATCTGGCCTTGGACACTTACTAGCTATATGATCCTGGGCAAGTCACTTAACCCTGTTTGCCTCAGTTTCCTCATCTTTAAAATGAGCCAGAGAAGGGAATGGAAAACCACTCCAATGTCTTTGCCAATAAAACCCAAAAAAGTCCACGAAGAGTAGGACATGAGCAAAAAATGACCAAATAACAACGGTGGAACTTTAAGGTTTACAAAAGGCAGCTAGGTGGTACAGTGGATAGAGCATTGGCCCTGATGTCAGGAGGACCTGAGTTCAAATCCGGCCTCAGACCAAACACTTGACACTTACTAGCTGTGTGACCCTAGGCAAGTCACTTAACCCAATTGCTTATATATTTATGTTTACAAAGTGCTTTGCTTATAACTACTTTATGAGAGACACACTAGATAGAGAGTAGGGAACCAATGATTTCATTAATATAGGGAACTCTGGAAAGAAAATCACCTTGACCAGTGGGGGCTAGCACCTTTTCTGTAACTTTTATAGTCAAATATCTATAAATCTTAGTGATTAGCCTTGATCAGACAGGTTAAGTGATTTTCCCAGGCTCACACAGCCTTTATATAGGTAGGACTTAAACCCAGGTCTTTCTGCCTCCAAAATGAGCTCTCTGCTCACTAGACCATGTGACTTCTCAGATAAGAGAGCAATCTGGCTACGTCAGTCAACCAGGGCTGATTTGGATGATCTGCTTAGCTAAGTCAGTGTTCTCTTACTGTCTGCACCCCTTTTGATGTAAAAGGATGTCCATATAAAAATACAAACTTCACTGAGACGGTACTTCAGTCAGAGGCATGCAAATAGCTGTGCTCTCCTGCCAAACTGAGCTCCAAGGTCCAAGAGGGAGATGGTATGAATATCCCTATTTTACAGACAAGGAAGCTGCGGCTCAGATGTTTAGCTATTTATCCATCACACTCATGAGTAGCAAAGCTGTGTTCTGAGCCCAGGTCACTTGATTCCAAGTGCAATGTTCTTTGCTTATAGTGGGCTAACTCTGGATTTGGAGCCAGAGAACCTGAGTTCAAATCCTGCATCTGCTACTTGTTACCTATAGGACCTTAGGCAAATCATGTCACCTCTCTGGGCTTTAGTTTACAGGTCAACCCCCTACTCAATAAACCCCAATCACTCCCTATTACCTCCAAGATAAAATAAAAATAAAAGCTCGTTGGCATTCAAAGCCATTCACGAACTAGCTCCCTCCCCCTGCCACCAACTCCCATCTTTCTAGTCTTCTTACACCTTACTCCCTCATATCCAGTAACACTGGCCTTCTGCCTGCTCCATGAAGCAAGACACATTATGTCTCAGCTTTGGGAATTTTCTCTGTATGTCCCCTATGCCTGGAATGCTCTCTGTCCTCCATTCCAACTACTGATCTCCCTGGTTTCCTCTAAGTCCCAACTAAAATCTCACCCACAGGAGGCCTTCGTTCTCAGTTCCAGTGCTTTCCCTCTGTTAATTATCTCCTATTTATCCCACATATAGCTTGCTTTGTATATATTTGTTTACATGTTGTCTCCCCCATTAGATTGTAAGCTCCTTGTGGGCAGGGGCTCTTTTTGCCTCTTTTAGTATCCATAGAACTTATCGAAGTGCCTAGCTCATAGTAGGTGCTTACTAAATGTTTCTTGAATTCAATTAAATTGAATCTGTAAAATGAAAGGATGGACTAAATTCCTCTAATGTGTCTTCCAACTCTAAATCTTTGTATGATTCCTGTTGTCAAGGGGTATTATGAAATTGGGGCAGGGCTAGGCAAAGAATTAATGTTAGTTCATTCTACAAAGACAAAAATCAAAGGTTGACAGAGCTGGGAAATTTGAGAAATTGACTAGTCCAGTACTGTCAAACTCAAATGGAAACGGCCATACGTACCATAAGGATCCCTACAGTCCACATATTGACTTAGAAAACCACAGATTGACATTATCTATGTACTATTTTATTTTAAAATTTACCTTAAATATTTCCCAATAACCGTATGTTTAACACCTCTGATCTGGTCCAAATCCCTCATTTGACAGATGGAGAAACTGAGATCCTGAGAAGTAAGAAAGATTTGCCCAGGTCACATGGGAAATTAATGGCAAAAATAGTTCTAAAACCCAGGATTCCCAATTCTCATTCCAGTAATCTTTCTATTGTATCATTTTGTCTTTCTTTGCCGTGATCTAATGGAAAGAACAACAGCCTCAAAGTCAGGATACCTGGGTTCTAGTTCTAGTTCTCATGTAACAACTTGCATTTATTTAATACTTTAAAAACAAGCTCATTGATATCTTTTGTTTTTATATTATTTTCATTTCCAAATATATCTCACCTTTTCCCTAATCAGAGAGTAATACTTTTGAACAAAGAATAAAAAACAAAGAGATAAAATGCAAAGAATTTTTTAAAAATCAACTACCACATCGATGGAGCCCGACAGTTTGTGTAATGTCCCTCATCTATAGTCCCCTACTTCTGCAAAGAAAGGTTGGTGATTATTATAATTATGCAATATTTGGTTGCATTTTTGTTCTTACAATTTACCTTGTTGTAATCATTGTGTATATTGTTTTTTCTAGTTCTGCTTACTTCACTTTGTGTCGCTTTATGTAAGCCTTCTCATGCTTCTCCATATTCTTGATTGCATTGTTTCTCTGGGTGCAGTAATATTCCACTATATTCATAGACCACAATTTTTTTTTAGTCATCCCCCACTCTATGGACTTCTCCTTTGTTTCCAGTTCTTTGTTCTTACAAAGAGCGCTGTGTTTTTTGTGTGTGCACGTATACATTTATATATACATACATGTATGTACACATGCACATACATGTATATATATATAAGCTTCTATCAGTAACCTATCTTTCTATCTTTAACTTCCTTGTGGCATATGCCTACCAGTGGTCAAAGGGTCTAGACATTTTGGTCACTTTCTTAGTATAATTCAAATTGCCTTCTGGGATGGTTAAATTCACAATTCTACCAATTGTATATTAGTGTGTGTGTGTGTGTGTGTGTGTGTGTGTTTACAACCCCTCTAACATAGACTATTGCACTCTTGTCAGTTTTGCCAATTTGTAGAGTATGAAGTGAAACCTCAGAGCAGTTTTGATTTGCATTCTCTTATTACAATATCAGACAATAAAAGGAAGTCTAAATCCTGGTAAAGTTGAAGATTTATTCATTCTTTCATTGAAATTTAGTGACCACTGGTTGTATATAGTGCCATATTAGAAGCTGAGGAGAAGTGAAGATTGGGATCATAAAATTATGAAATTGAGAGATAGAAGTAACTTGATGGAGCATCTGTTCCAAATTCTTCTTTTATCAGTTGTGGACAGCCCTTGTCCTCAATGAATTTACAATCCTATGGCGGGAAATAAGATATGTACAGCAATTACTCTTAATACAAGATGGGATGTAAAAAGTGCCCTAAGAGTAGTGCCAATAAAGTGCCATAGGAATTCAGGGGAGGAGGGAAGCTCCTGGTTGGGTGATCAAAGAAGACTTAGACTTAAAAGGTACGTAGAGTTCTGAGAGTGGGGGGAGGGGAGGGGATTTCAGGCATAGAATTGACAAAGGAGGAGGTATTTTCAGGCAGCAATGAGTTTCCAGTTTAGCTGTCACCTAGAGAGCCTTGAATATCAAACTAAGGAATTTGGATTGATTTTGATAGACAATAAATATCTTTGTTTGGAATTTCATTAAAATTATCCTATAACTAAAGCTGTCTCTGTGTGAATATGTCCATACCTTGTGTATGTATGTGTACATGTGCATACCTGAGCATATGTAAAAAGGCACATGCATACATATATCACCAGAGAAACTTTAAATACATGAATGTTTCATGTATTTGACTGAAAAGTCCTAGAAGGGAAGGGGGGAAAAAAACCTCCATAATTGATTAACTGGAAACCTGAGGTGAGAGCTAAAAATCCAGTTTCCAAGGGAAATCGAAAGACTGGGTAAATTTGGTTAAGCTATATTGAGTACTAGCCAGTAGGTGGCAGGCCAGGATCAGCATAGGTCTCTGGCCTG